CAGGAAGCCTGTGCCCGTGGTGTTATCCTTATAGAATGAAGTTTTAATTTGCGAATTTAGATATTTTATATTTTTTATTAAAATCCTTTATATTTCAGGAAGTTTAATAAATCGCGATTTATGAAAATCTATGGGGCAGAAATGCTTAAAAAAAGTGAAAATTAGTAGAAGGCAAGCAAAGAACTAACACAGCACACACCGTTTATTAAAATCACTTCCTTTCCAGATGTATTGAGTTAAAAAAGAGGCTGAGTTTAGTAAACGGCGATTTGTGCACTGCAAATCATGATATGAGTTTTAAAGTTTCCAAGTAAAATAATAATTAATAACTAATTCAAAAATTAATCCCAAAAAATAGTTAAAAATGAATACTCTAAAATTTACACATTGTGAAATTCATTTTTATATATTGTCATAAAAATATTTTATAACTATATCTTGATGAAAATTTTTATCTAAAAATAAATATTCTATCTGTGTTTGTTTCATACATTTAAACAACAGTTTTTGTTTTTCAATTGTATTCTCACTTTCGTAAAACTGCTGATACCTTTTCTTTGGTCAACCTCTTTCAGTTCAAGAATTCTTCTTAGAATTTGCAGTGGTTTTCTAGGTTCAACTGATCATGAGATGAAGTGTATGTGTTGCACAGTTATTTAATTCGCAAGGATATTTTTCATTTTTCAGTTTGCTATCCCATTTCAAACGAAAATCAGTAAAAAATACTATTTGTCATCGATGAGTCCTCGCTGCTGTAGTAAGTCAGATGTACATTCTAAAAACATCGATATTTGCTACTTTGCTCAATAGCTAGAATCGTTTTTTTAACTGTTGGGTCCATATTGCACGTTAATAACACAGTAATTTATTCCTTTAGCTTCTTAAACCAACTGATATTTACATTTTAAATATTAATGTATGCTCTGGTAATGTTTCGTAACGCAGTCCAGTTTCCTCTGTACATTGGTACAACTTCCCCTTCAAGCTATAAATGTTCCAAATGCCATTTAAAAGGCGTCTGCGCAAGCGGCAGTAAATAGCTCAGTAATTCGCGGCAGTAATAATAAAGACGAACTGATTCAGCAATATTTTTATAATAGAAAAGGACAATCTTCCAAAATAAAAAGTGTAATAATAGAGATAGTAACAAGACGGGCTCAGCTCGGCACATTTAACAGGCAATAATCCCCTTCTATGATCATAAACAGACTGGATCAAAGAAAAAAACGCGTTGACCCTAAACAGAAACAATAATCAAACACTAGTTCTAATGGTCCTGCAGTTTGAATTGACAACAGCTATGATTTCAGATACTTTTTTTTTTGGCCATTTTCAAATTTAATAATGTTTTTGTTGTTTCCTTAAAAAATAATTTTTTCGCTAACAAGGCAATACATATTTCTCACTCTTTTGGGTCAAACAGCATATCTCGACGAAGTATTGTGCTTCGACAAGAGTATTGCAGATATTACAGAACAAAAAGGGTAAAGTATTTTTGAAAAAAAAATGAAGAGAGTGTTACGTGCTCACGTATAAGATGCTATATTTATACATAAATACTGGTGGTCAAAACCTAAGGACGGATGTCATTATCAATTATACAGCTGCAAAATCGAAGGCAGCAGCATGTGGAAATCGGCATATTTGCATGATGCAGCATAGGAGAGAAAGAAATGAGCAGAACACCATAAACTTACCAATTAATTTGATAGCCACAGTCCTAGCGCCCTAACTGTACAGCTCCGTCCAAATTTTGATGGAGAACACCTGAAGCTCCAGATCTGAGGGTTTTCCAGCCCTCTTCCCTGATCATCAAACTTTTCGAGAGGACTTTCGACTCACCAGTATTTTAAAGCGCCTTCACAACGCACAATCATTATACACTTATAAGCATCTTAGCGTTCTCTGGATTACTGCAGCCCAACCAAAGAACATCTATGTAGATTCTTTGGCCCAACGATACTGCAATAAGCGCTGCTAATCGCTGTACCGATCAGGTCGGCAGTGTGATGAAGTATGGTGCGTATGCAAAGATTTGTTTTATCACAGGCGTAGTTCACGTAATAGCATTGGTAAGTGATTAAAGGTATTAGGCGCCTGCAGGTACTTATTGTTGGAAGTGATATCTTATCGCATAGGAATCAATAGACGTTTGGAAAATTCTGGATAAGTCTTGTAGATGTAGATAGATCGTTTAGACTTTAGATGACTTCATATGCGGTCGTATTATCGGGAAACTGGAAGAAGAGCGAAAAAAAAAAAAAAAAATGACAGTAAAATAAAAGACGTAGCCAGGAAATTCCACATCGTTCTACCGTATTGTTTTTCAGCTTTAGGGAAACGTGTTGAAAACACATGAAATATCAAATAGATGCAAACGGGCAATCTGTAATATTAATAACTAGGTTCTTTAAAAGTAATATTTTTATCTTAAAAAAAGGGAGACAAATTTAAGCTTAATACTGCGTCTGGTAATTGCAGTTAAACTCAACAGGATTATATAATTTAACCTACCTAGTTTTTCATGATGGATATCTAGTGAAAATAAGTATGCGCACTATGTAGATAACCTTCTTAATTTTTAATTTAGAATATCATAGCAGAGCTTATGTAAAACTAAATTGGATTTCACCGATTTCGCCGTCATTTATAATTTCTAATTTTTTATCCTAATTATACGGTCAATTTCTTTGCTTGTTTATTAATATCAAAGTATTAAAACTGAAATTTCAATTTCACTGTAATAGATATTTTAAATGCCGTTTTCATGTTTTAAATATGAAACTTACCCCCAAAAAATACGGTAGGCTTTCTCTTTTATTTTAAAGAGCCGCTGGTGTTTAGAGTAGGATTACTAATGTTAGTGTGAGGATGTTATGGAACAAATAAAACAAACAAAAGATTTTGCACACACATACATATTATGTTATTTTGTCTTTTATTTATTACATTTATTCATTCAAAATAATGATGATATGATATAAGAAATAAGATACATTATTTAAGATGTCTGCAGTTACACTCCGAGTAAATGTTGAATCCATAAATGAATTGTCAAGTGTACTTGGATAGTTACTTGGCACCATATTGAGATTAAAATGACGTTTCATAAAAAAAATGCCTTTTCATTTCGTATTACGTCTACATTGAAATTTCTCATCATAACAGTAGGAACATCTGTATATGCAGTAAATTCTTTATCGATCAATAAAGTAGTCTCAGAGTATTTTCTCAATGCACTAAACAAGAACATCTTCAAATCTCTTGAATTAAAAGTTAGATGAATATATACGGATGTTAGAATAAATCTTGACTGTTTATTAACAATTATATGCAACCGCACAAATATCGCCTGTTTCTGAATCCTGTATTCTCTTACGCTGCTTGAGAGTAAATTCTTTTTGTACACAATATGCTACCCTCGTCAAATTTCAATAAATTGCAACACCACTAGCTTGGCGAAATAAAATAAAGTACAGCAAACACCATCTAAACACACTGACTGGCTACGCGCGAGAGTCTACCAGACGACCTTACCACTCACATGCGCACGGAGCTTCACCAAAATTTCGCTATTTTTGACACCCGTTGTTCAATTAATTTTTTATTTTTTTTTTATTTTTGCTAATGCGCTCTTTCATCCATCTAATGATGTATTTAAATTGATTGTAACATTTGTAGTTTTGAAGGTGTAAGCATTCGCGCATGACTCAACGTCTAAATTTTTGCTTCCCCATCAGACCATAATGGAAAAATGTAATCCTACGTAAAAAAAAAAAAAAAAAAAAAGACAAAGAAGTGTTAGTCTCTTAATCCGCAACGGTAAAATTTAAGCTTATTTTGAAAGTTGCATGTGTCATAAAACATTTTTTTTACATAAATCAAGTTATGCAAGGAATGCAAGGAATTTGAGATAGTAAGCAAAACAATAGAATGGGGAAAATGAACTGTTCTTTAACTGATTTGTTCCACTTGTGAATTTCTTCCACATAAGCATTTTCATTTGATTTTCTTCTTTAATGAAACGGAAGAAATAAGTAGACTAATAACATTCTTTGTGCTGAAACAATTATTATAACACTATAAAAAATCCAATGCTGCATTGTATGCTGAATTAATCTTTATATTCTGATTCCGAAATGCAGTGATTATTTCAAAATAGTTAAAACTTGCAGTTTATATTATTTAAATGATTCAATTTTGATCGGTTGTTAAAGAGACTTTACTAAAATCTTTCGAGAACCATGCTTATCAGCACAAAGTGCGTAATTTATAAAAACTATGCACCGCGTGTTAGCAGACACGATTCTTTTTTTGAGTGAATCGTTAGGCATTTCACAGAAAGCGAAAGTTGCCCCCATGGAGATCTTTTTTAGGTAAATTGGCTCGTATCGACGCTACACATGGGTAAAACCACGAAAATGCCGATGTATCCAACCTGTTCGACGGGACATAAACCACGGACCGAACTACCAGTATTCAGCGGATTTTACCCCTCGGCCGCTGGTGGGAGTCGTGACGATTTCAGTTGAATCTAATAAGGTAATAGACAACAAGACTACTTCAGTATCATGATATGATTAAGATATCCCATTCGTGTGGCAGAGATAAAAGAGGGCCATTCGGAATATGGAACACATTTTGCGCAGGTAGAATTCTAAATATGAATGCTCAATAATGTTTGTTTATTTGGAAACAGTAAAGCATGTGAAGGGGATCTGTCGGGGCTTGTGGAAGTCTTGCTAAGGGGAAAATAATCGAATATACTTTACACTTGGGGAAACCACAAAACACCTGTGAAGTCATCTCGTTCACTGGGATTCAAACATAGGCCGAACTACCAGCGTTAGTTTAATCCAATCAGCCATTGATGTGTACAGTGTCTACAAGACAAGTGGTCTATAAGCATTATGTTGGTATAACTTTGAAACAGTATAATTTTTAAAACGCAATATCTCTCAGTCAATATTTATGGCATGCGGATAAAGACACTTACTTACCATATTCACTTCAGATATGGCGTCAAAACTTGCAATTTGCAAATCCATTCCAATAAAAAGAGGATTTCCTAATGTTTAAACATACTGTTAAGTTACCAAAAAAGAAACAGAAAAGAATGAATAAATTGAAAAACAGGCTCTATATTAATATGATTTGTTGACTGAAATAGGTAATATTCTTACCACCAAAGTTTGGACGAAGTCGAACATCATAACCGTCGAGAAGATGTTTTATAATATCTGTAATATTCTCAAGTTCTAATAATTTCTGCGAATGGGCTCGACTGTAAAAAAATCAAAAACATCATTAGATACATGAAAGAATTCAAAGAAGTATCCAAAAATTATTAAAACAATATGTAAGGTATTTTATTTTAAGTAATCAAATATCATGATTTAAGCCTTTACTACAACTTTTTTCCATATACCATACCAACATGTAAATTAGGTTTTTGTGCGCTTAAGCTGAGGGTTTTGAAATGTCAGATGACAGCTTCAGACAGCCGGCGCCTTACAGTTATTTATTCCTGCCAGCTCTGTCTTACTCTCGCCAAGTCTGCAGGACCTAAATTTATATTCCGTCTTTAACGCCTTGCTAGCCGATGTTCTAAAACATGCGTCTGTAAAATTCTGAGCCAGTTTATTCTGCATATTATGTGTGTAGCCTGCGACTTTTTTTATCTACATTTGATACTTAACTTTCTGCTACGTTAATTTAAATACCTGCAAAGTTCATTTTAGCACAAGCCGTGACTGCTCTGTTGAGTTTAAGAACTAAATAGAAAGGCTATTTTAACCTTCTTCAATATCTTCAGATCTCCTTCAGTATCAATATCCCTCCTTTAGTGTTGTTTTTCAGACCCAGTTATAACTTTCTATCAGCGGGTATCTATCTAGTAGGGTCTTAAATACAAGTTTTCAATTACAGTAGAGCCCTACGTTTGGCACGCAACAATATCACGAACCATGTCGCAAGACAATGCAAAATTTGCACTAGCCCCCAAAGACTCCGAGATCCTACGGCACCAGTAAGCCGCATGGAAGGCTTCGGATTTATTATGAACAATATACGTTCATCGATAAAACCATCCAATAGTTTCGACAGTAGAAGTTACGTGTTAACGTTCTTAAAAAGCTTGGAAACGTAATTTTTATATACCTTGTTGGAGAATCTCAAAAAGAAACCATAGCAACCGCTGCACTAAGAGGCCAAATCCTAAATTTTTTTAAAAGGACTGGAAAGTACACTGCCCTCCAAAAGTTAAGGAACAGCTTGTTTTTGAAAGCTCACCATTATAAAAATGTCAGTAACATTTAAATTCCCAGTTTATATGCATGATAATAACGAAGTTTAAGAATTTATATGTAAAAACAATAGCTACTTTTATTTTATAGAAATGAATACTTATATAGGAGGTGGAGAAAAAAATGTAAAAATTGCAAGTTTTGTTCACAAGTGAGTGAGCGGCACCAAGGCAGGCCACTGACCTGGCTATCTTCAGTTGTTATTAGCAATTTCGTTGACAATATCTAGGAGAGTCTATCAATGTCCAGGAAAAGTTGTTTTCCCGATTCGTTGAGGTGGCGGACGATCGGATAGGAGGAGATGGAGATGTCACAATCTGATGCTGCTTGACGTCCCAAAGTCTCTCGTGTGGTCCACCGACTGTGGAATCACTTTGAAACCGAGGATTCTGTGGTTAGAAGACATGTTCCAGGCAGACTAAGAGTTACCCTTTATTTAGCTCTTTCGGCACGAAGGAGGAGCAACATCATTGTGCCTCAGCTCATGGCGATAATTTAGTGGCAACAAAGACAAGAATCTCGGCTACTACAGTACTCAGACGCCTGCACAATACAGGTCTTTATGCAAGACGGCCAGTTGCTTATGTCTCTTTGACCCGAGGACTCAGAGGGGCGCGTTTATGTTGGGCAAGACAACACTTCTTCTGGACCAGTCAACAATGGGCGTCTGTTCTCTTCATAGACGTGTTCAAGCTCACATTGGAGAGTGATTCGAGGTTGTCATCTGATCTGGAGAGAACAACGCACCAGATACAACCAATACCCCATAGTGGGAAGACACAGTTACAGAAGTAGTGCAACAATGGTTTGGACTGGGATCTCTTTCGGTGGTCACACTGATCTGCATGTGTTCCATGAAGGAACTTTGACTGGTGTGAGGTATCGAGACGAGGACCTTGATTAATATGTACGCCCGTATGCCGCTGCTGTTGGTCTTAGATTTCTTCTGATGGACGACAATGCGTGACTGCTCTGAGCTCGGTTTGCTGAAGAATATCTTGAAAGCTACGGTAGGGAGTGGCCAGTTTCGTCCCCAGACACGAATCCGATAGAGCACCTTTAGAAATACCTTGGGAGGCACGTTGCTGCTTTAAGTCCTTTTCCAAGGTCGCTAGCTGAGCTTGAACAAGGATTTCACTGTGTCTGGTCGTTGCTTCCCGACTTACCGAAAACTTAATGGAAAGTATGAAACGTTGCTGCCGCAAATTTATTGCAGTAAGGGTGGACACATTCTTTATTAGATTCAATTTTTGTAGTGCTACCAACTCATTTTTCCTCAAAAAACTGCGGTGTACTGTTTCCCCAACACTAGATTTCTCTGCCCAAAGTGCAATGTTTTGTTGTAATTCATGTTTGTGTTTAACTTTAAAAGCATTCTATGTCGCATTCATTAACGATGTATTAAAGATCTGTTTAGTGAACTTGTCCTGCAAATTTCTTGTTTCTAAATTGCTTCATTCTCAAATTAGATACAAAAAACATGTTGTTCCTTAATTTTTGCTTGGCAGTGTATTTACTAGGTAAACTAGGCACTGAAAGTTAGAAGTTTGAAGTATTTGAAGCTGCACTTTCGAAAGAATTCCCTGTGGTGAAACATAGGAGGAAGTTAGAGTCGCACTTAAATCGCAAACCCGGATAAGGCCGACCTAAACGCAGGATAAAGCAGATAAGGTTAACGTAAATTGTTAATACCTTGATAAGGCAGATGAGTTAACGGATTTATTTTAAGAAAAGTACAGGTGATGAAATTGTTATTTGGGTAAAAGCCAGATTCAGAATTTATAGATAATATTACGGAGATTGTTACCACATATTCAAGATTTTTTGGAGCTAAAAAACTCTTACGGTAGAACAGCTTTTCTAATTAGCCGGGAAATTTGAAAGTCAGTGTGTGTCAGTGAATATGTGTAGGTGGAAATATGAAGAAAGAGGTAACGAAAATTTTTGGAAGCATGTAGCCGAGAAAGGGGTTAAATTTGGCACAGGAGGCGGTTTGGCAATCGACAGAACCTTTCTTCCGCTAACGGTAATCACCAATATATTTCTCCGAAAAGGAAATCGGTGGATGGTATGCAGAAAGATTTAAACTAGGTAGGTGGTGCTGTCGGTCAGTCACGAGAGAGAAGGAAAGGCCTTTTACGTCCAATGAAATACGCTACTAATTAAATATATATCACTCTCAATTATTCAAACTGTCGTAAACGGCATAGCTTCAGCGCTTTATTATATATAGAGGCGCAAAGTAGCTTTCTGGAGGAACATTTTAGGAAGCAGATTACTTGGTATGGCGGGAGTTAAAGTAATTGCAGCACAGGAAAACATTCTGAATGTTAAGGAAAGTGACTGAAAATGTGTAAGTTAAAAATTAACATCGATTTTTTTTTTTTTTTCGGTGTGTGGTGAAAAACTTAGAGACAAACTTGGATTTTTAAAAATTGTCTCTTTTTTTTTCCTTCGGTTAAGAAGCTCTTTTCATAATCTAGCTTCTAGATGCGCGATATCGAAACCCAGGAAAATCAGGAACCGATCCATGTTGATAGCATACCTGTATTGTACACGAGGCCGTTTAACGATTCCCAGAACACAAGTATTCAACGAGAGCCAACCTACATAAGCACAATCGAGGATAGGTTAAAGATAAGCAAGTTTAGCAGCAGTGAGCAGTAAAACACAGAGGGAGGGGACAGAGCACCTTTATACGCTCAGCGGTCAGCGCCGCTTTGCCTCATATCTCATTTAAAGTGCTCAGAGGAGGTGAGCTCAGACGTTGTCACCACGAAATAGTTACATTATCTAAGGCGATCGCATAAATGCACTTTTGGGATGGTGGTAATGATCTTTAACTGCTACGAAAAAAAAAAAAAAAAAAAAAAAAAAAAAAAAAAAAAAAAAAAAAAACCACAATCCGATCCCAGAGCCATTTACCTACCTCAGAGACAAGGGGTCTCTTTTTCCAGCAGTGCTAAAATGATGACGACCCGAAGACCGCCGCGATATGATTTTAAAACTAAACTACTGAAAACTTAAGAAATATGGACACGCGAATGAATTGTTAAATTTCCCATTTCGTTTTTTTACACTTTTTTCTTTAAATAATAGCACTCGGTGTTCAAGAAAGAAGAAAAATTCTCTTACACATGCTTAATAAAGTCCAGCAAAATCTATTGCTACGATGATACAATTGCACACTTCATTTCACTTCAAGATAAGACAGTGTGTGGGGAACAATCAAAGAACGCAATTAATTAATATTGTTTTTAAATGTTTGACTACTTGTATAAATTTTAACTATTACTTGTTAGAATGTAGTATTAAGAACCTATATTTATAAATTTTTATTCCAAACACTTATACATAGAGAGAAAAGAAAAAAAAAAATGTACTGTGATTTTACAGGATATTTTTGAAACTAAAATGTATTACTAAATGAAAAATTCCGATCTAATTCACTGGAGTCAAAAATAGTCCAGTGGATAGCATAAAACAGTGGTTTCATTTGGGCTTTTGTGTCTAGCAGAATGTTTTGCTCTTCCCTCTGTGTAACATGAATACAACTTAATTTTCGTAGAAACTACAGTGGTAGTTCATTTGGGCTTTTGTGTTTAGCAGAACGTTTTGCTTTTCAAAGTGAATACAACTTAATTTCCGTAGAAACTTTATACAGTGTTTTATATAGGAATTTTGAAAAATTAAACTATAGTATCAATAGAAGTGAAAAATTGCAATCTGATTAGCAAGAGATCAGAAATAGCCTAGTGGACAACGCAAAATATTGGCACTCCATTTGGGGGTTTTGAGGTTGACAGAATGGATTGCTGCTTCATATGTGTAGCCTAGAATGGAAGTTGATTTTTGTAGAATTTTATAGTGTTTTATATAGGAATTTTGGAAAATCAAACTGTGAAATTAATACTAAACGAAAAATTCCGATCAAATTCTCAGGGGGTCAAAAATGGTCCAGTGGATAATATAAAACAGT